TTCTCAAATGCCTCATGCCTTATCCTATTCATGCATCCTCAAACACTGCTTAAGTCAGCTAGATCATTTTACTGTAGCTTGAAGTGAACTTTCTCTGGTAATGAGGAAATAAAACCTTCAGGCAAGCAATTTTCTTATTTTCTTTAACCTTCCTCTGACTTAATTTTCAGTTGCTGGGCAAACTCATGATGAACTAATGTAGACTTTGGTTGCATTTGACTTTTTATGGATGTAAATGAGAGATCTGATTTATCATTAACTGATATGTGGTAAATATTTTCTATATGCAAATGATGGTGTTAGACATGATTATGAAAATGATGCATAAAATGATATGATATAATAATGCTTAAAACATGAGGATGGAAATGATGCATAGAATGATGTAACATAATAATGCTTAAAACATGAGGATGCATGTTGTAATGCATAAAAACAACCAAAAATGGTTAGATAATGAACTGTTCCTTCTTGTGTCCTAATTTTAGGTTATATCTATTGATAGGTAGGAAGGGCTCTATCTTAAGGTTGGCTTTTTAAGGGTAAACTATATACAGGGTTAGGTGGTTTTAACCACTAAAGGTTCTCAAATTGTTCCTTACATTATTATCCATCACAAACTAGTAAGGCAGTCCAATCCTCACCCATCACAGGCTACCAACGGAAAGGATTCAATTTAAGTCGGAGTATTTCACTAGCCACTACGGAGATTATCATTTCACGAGAGCGTAGGCACTTTATTCCCTCCTAAGAGGGACAAAGCCCAGGTATAGAGCTTATGCAATACAAATGCATGTGATAGTGTGTGTGAAGGAACATATGGTAATCATCCCCATAAATCAGACAAAAACAAGAGAAAAAACGTTAGTAAACAAATAACTTAAAACCATTAGTTCAAAAGATAAGATAAATTCAAAAATTATGGCTTGACGTTCTAGCAGTTCCTAGTAGAGTCATCAAATGGTCATAACCTATAGATTCAAAAATCTATAGCTAGACTTAACAAATGAATGGAGTTGCCACCAATCTTTTTTACTAGGTGTGATTGGTCAGCTAAGGAATCTATCCCTTTAAGGAGCTCCTAAGCTTGACGAAGGGTCCTTAAAAGAATAGGTTCAGGTCTACTAACCAGAATAGAGTTCAGGAGTTCGGTTACATGTGAAGAAGGTTATAGCATCCCATATGCCAATCCGAAAGATGGTATCATATTATTTCAAATTTATCCTAAAGTATTGAGTCTAATGTTTCAAATTTTAAGTTGAAATATTTATGAGATTCTTCCATTAATTTGGTAGAATTCTTAAAAAAATATTTCTTCACCTCAAGAATATTCAAGAATCCAATTTGATTTCTTGAAGAGGCTTCGTCGTTGAAAAAATATTTATTTATTATTTTTTAGTCAAAAACATATCTAATTATTCCTCCATTTGGGCCAAATTAAAAATATTCTCTCTTTTTGAATTTCTAAAATTTTTCACCATTTAGGCCTATTTAGAAATTCTTTTTATTTTTCTTTGGAAAGAAAATAATATGACAATTACTTTTATTGAAAATTTTCATTTAAACTATTTCACCATTTGGGCCAAATTTAGAGAAAATTTCTCACCTAGAGATTTCTTAGAAATTTACCATTTGAAATTTTTAAGAATCTCATCCTCGGATAATTATTACATATTTCCAATCAAAATTTTATTTGGAAAAGAATACAATTATTTATATTGAAATTTTATCTAAATTATTCCACCATTTGGGTCAAATTTAGAGGAAATTTTTCACCTAGAGAATTCTTATAAAATTTATCATTTGAAATTTTTAAAAATCTCATCCTTTGATAATTTATATTTAATTTCAAAATTTTATATTTTTTATTATATTTTATATTTTTTTATTTTTTTTGATTGAAAATAAATATTAATTATTCTTATTGAAACCTTATCTAAATTATTCCACCATTTGGGTTAAATTTAAACAAAAATTTTCACCTATGAATTTTATAAAAATTTACCATTTGAAATTTTTATAAATTTCATCATTGGATAATTAATATTTATTCCTAAAATTTTATTTTTACTTTATTTTACTTTATTTTAATTTAATAATTAAAAAACAAAAAAAACAAATAAATAAAATACTTAAATAAAATAAATAAGAAAATACCAAAAAAAATTTGAAAATGACTCGACTTAGGTTGGGAAACAGCTTGGCTCAAGATAGAAATCACAACTCAAACGTGCAGCTCGGAGTCACGGCTGGAACCCAGGCGAAGAAGCGGGTCGCTGGTTCGGGTGCGCTACGGGTCGGGTTGCATGTTGGCAAAACACGCGGATCCTCTATGTTTACTAATGCAAAAATGACGTCATTTTAGCATGATATAAAAAGCTCTAACCTCTGTTTTTTTCGTAGATGGCTCATTCCCTCTCTCTCTCCTTTCCCTCTTTTCTCTTCATTCTCTCTAAACAATCCCATATTCTGGTTGAATTTCTACCAGAATCTGGAAAAAGCCATCGGAATCTTCAAATCTAGCCAGAAAACTCATCGAAAAATTCAAAGTTCACTGAAAAATTTCGTTGGATTCTGGAAAATTTTCAGAAATTTTTCAGAAAAAAGTCCAAAAATTCAAAAAAAAATTCTAAAAATTCTATACTGCCTCTAAACACTTTTAGCTTCTGTTTCACCTCTTTGTTTCTTTTCCCTTTGATCCCTCTCTGATTTTTTTCTGATTCCTGTTTTAGCCTCTATTTATAGGCATTAATCAAAAACAATTTTTAATCAATACTTATTCCCTATTTGACTGGGATTCAATCTTTGAATCCCAGTCCAACTCTACCAGAAACTGTTTTAGAAGGAAACAGAAATTAAAACTTACTTTTCGGATCGAATAAAAATAAAAATAAAATAATGAAAATAATAAAATAATAATAATAATAATAATAATAATAACTTAAAATTAAAATTAAAACTAAAATTGGGCCAGAACTGAGCTAAGCCCAATGGGATGAGGCTCAGTCCCTGTTGAATCAAGCTCAATGAGCCCGAGCCTGGGCCCGAACAAATTAGAGTGTTTACAGATACAGTTTATGATTCACTTCAAGAAATGAACTATGGATTTGAAGAAAGTTGTTAACCTACTTTGACAATTGAGAAAAGGTACTCCATGAAGTGCAAAAGATCATGGAACATGAAGATCAAGAAAGAAGGAAATGGGGATGGAAAATATCTTGGTGTTTGAGGATCTAGGAGCTGATTATTTGGAGAAGCTTCTAAGTAAATCTAAGAGTGCAACTCCTTATTGGTGAATATTTGGGTGCAAACCCCAATATTTTTTCTTCTCTTTTTCCTTTCTTCTCCCTTTTCAATTGAGATAGTGGAGGAGGACCAAATTTTTTACTGGATATTGTCTGTGAATTTGTAAATCTTGATGCACAATCAAAGTTTAGTGCTATTATAATTTTCGCCAACAATAATATTACATACTAGTTGAACATTTCTACAAATTTTCATTCTTCCATGTATACATACATACATACATATATATATATATGATAACAATTTCTAGTTAGTTTGAATTCATAAAGAGTTAACATCTATATTAATCATATATTAGTAGTTGTTTTACTTTCCTTTTTGCTTAAAAGAACACTTGAAAATAAAGGTCGTTGCGCCAATTTGTATTCTCATTTCTTTTTTTCTTGGTATAAAAGAAAATATTTTTTTGGAATTTATAAGATTCCTGTCCATATCTCACCACATCCTTTTTCGTGAAAGTAGAATATTAACCAGCTTTTCCTTGAGCAATATGTGCCATTGCCAAGGCAATTTGGACCCAATTTTGAATCAGATGAAGCTCTAATTGAATTTGGCTGAAAGCTCGCCGAATCACTATCATAATTTATAACTAAAACTGTTTTTAATGTGGAAGAGAACTCAATCCCCCTAAATCCAAGCCCATGGATGTGTTTTTACCATCATGAGCTTTTTTATGCTGCCTATCGAGCTCAATCAACGACTTGCATAATAAAAAAAGAGAGAACTACTATTTACCTATCAAATTAAAGTTATAAAATCTAATAGACCGGCTTCACATATATATATATATATATATATTAGTCAAAATTGATCCATCACATTATGATTCAAATACAAAATTAAACTGGGATCATACTTAATTAATATCGTACTATATGTTTGAATATATTACAATATGATACCACTATAATTATTTGTAATTTGACATTAATTGAACTAAATCCGGATTAATTAATTGACTGTGTTAGCCCACGATATAATTGCAAACACTCTGCACTGGGGAAAAGGGTTACGGAATGTCTGGGAAGCCATTGCACTGTAAAGGCTCAGCATTTCACCGAATCATCCCGAGCTTCATGTGTCAAGGTGGAGATTTCACAAAGGGGAATGGCCCTGGAGGAGAAGCAAGCTATGGCATGAAATTTGCAGATCAGAATTTCAAGCTTACACATACCGGACCTGGTTGTTTGTCAATGGCCAATGCAGGACCAAACACCAATGGCTCCCAATTCTTTATACGCACGGAGAAGACTCCATGGCTTGATGGAAAGCAAGTTGTGTTTGGTAAAGTAGTGGATGGATAAGCGTTGTCAAGGAGATGGAAAAAGCTGGCTCAGACAGTGGGAGGACTTTGCAACCAGTTGTGATCGATGACTGTGGTCAGCCAAAAGAAATTGATGGAGAACCTGGGAATGATGAAGTACTGTATTTTTTTTTTTTATGTTTCTACATGGCAATTTGGACTCTGTCCACTTTGTTAGTCACTGCTAATGTACGTTACAATAGAAATTTGAGGCACTCCTGAAGGAAAAATTGCTTCAGTGTCATGTTTTATCAGATTATACATTTTTGGTTAGGAGAGGAACTGATCAATTTCATTTATATTATACTTGGATCACAATTTTATTTCCATCGCATGATACTTGAATTATACTTGATCACAATTAACAGAACATAGTCGAGGACTCTTATTCATGGGTCAAGCGAACGGAATCGGGCAGGCAATGGAGATGGGGGTGGCCGAAAAGGTTAGTAAAGTTGTTGCTGTAGAGGTTTGGGGGGTTGCTGGGGATTAGAATCGCTGAGATGTGTTTTAGAAGATGGGAAAGGGAGGTGAAGGGAAAAAAGAGATGGTTTTGGTTCAAAAATGAAGAAAATAAAGGATTTTGGCAATTGGCGATGGGTTTAAGAGAGGTTGATGAGAGCATGGCGAGGAAAAATAGATGTAGAAGATATTTGTAGGAAGGAGGGAGAAGGGGAAGGCTTTATTTTGTTTATTAGCAGCAGCAGGGTGGTTTAGGCCTGTCAAAATTCTAATACCCCATTTGCTTGGTGGTATAAGGCAAAACAAAACTAGCCTAACACTTTTATATTTAAATATATATCATTTAAATTATACAACTCGAGTTCATATATCATTTAATACGAAATAATAAAATTATAATTACTTAAATTAATATCGTTCAATTATGTAAAAAAATTATTACATTTTTTATTACATCAAATGTAGATTCAAGCAATCAAAATACAACACGTTATTAAAATTTGTAAATTCTCTCTTTATATAATTTAAAAGAATTTTTTTCCCATGGCTTCTATGAGGGGTTAGTTCCATTGCTAGTTGGATATAAAAAAAAGGGTTTGGTGATACTATATGATCATACTAAGTACAATGAAATCACGCATTGAAATCTTGTTTTAAAAATTTAAAATTTAATTTAATTGATTTATATAATTATTTTTAAAATATAACATTCAATAAATTTAAAATTTAAATTTTAACACCTATAATTATGAATTGTGAAAATCATACTAATATTTGGTAATTAAAATTGTATTAAAGGATAATGGATAAAAAAATAATTGTGTTAACTATGAAAGATAAAACTGAAATTGTAATTTGCAAAATTAAACGTTTTACTTTCATAGATTTTTATATAAAACCACTTTTATATTTCAATTAATATTCTTTTTTTGACAAATTTCTTAATTTTAGGCGCCATACATACATTAAAACTTGATTTAAAAGAAAAAAAGAAAGTAACTATAGCATAAAAATAATAAGGAAAAAGAGTCTTAGCTTCTCTAAATTTTTTGTAATTTTATTTTTTTCTAAATTTTCATTTTTTTTTATTTTTTCTGTTTTCTAAGACATAAAGAGTTAATTGTTTGACCGTGAACTTGACTTACTTGTCAAGTCTTTTTTTGTTCTTCTTTCTACAATTGTAGAATTTAAATGGACCGTAAATGCTTTCCGTGGAAAATTCAAGTTGGTTTTTGTGGAAAATTCTCCATAGACTTGGTTGACTTGACTTACTTGTTAAGTCTTTTTTGTTCTTTCTACAATTGTAGAATTTAAATGGACCATATATGCAATTTAAATGGACCATAAATGCTTCCCGTGGAAAAGTCAAGTTGGAAATTAGTTTTTGTGGAAAATTCTAACTCCATAGAGTTGATTTATTTGTCTAGTTTTTTTTGTTCTTCTGTCTACAATAGTAGAATTTAAACGGACCATAAATGCTTTCCGTGGAAAATTCAAGCTGGAAATTGGTTTTTGTGGAAAATTCAAACTCCATAGACTTGCTTGACTTGACTTGATGTGATGGAAGATATTTTTCTTTAACTTTATATATTAGGTGTTGGTAGCAATGATCGGTATGCACCATGAGAGCGGTTACAATTTCCTCATTTGGATTTCTTCTTGTCATCGCAGTCACCATTATTAGCTTTTGCGATGGGAATTGCAATGTGCTTTGGCATTGAAAGTGAGAGACAAGCCCTTTTGAAGTTCAAGCAAGACCTTATTGATCAATCAAACCGGCTAATCTTCTTGGGTTGAAGGTGAGGATTGCTGTGAATGGCTTGGTGTTTTCTGCAATAACTTGACTGGCCATGTCAAAGAGCTGCATTTGGGGCTTCTTTCAAGTAGACCTGATGTGCATGCACCGCATGCTGAATGGGATGTTGAATGGGATGTTTACATTCGGTCAAAACTAGGAGGCAAAATAAATCCTTCTTTGATCGAGTTGAAACTGTTAGGAAATACCACAATACCCACGCGCAGCAACCACACACACAAAATAACAAGCTCAAATCAAGAATAAGAACACACAAATATATTTGGTTCGGCCCAACTCAAAATGGCCTACTCCAAACCTAATCCACTATCAAATAAATCTTTACATTGTGAGACTTTTAGAATGAGAAAAGTCTCATAAAACTCCTTACTCAAAACTTAACCCAAAACCCAATTACACTCTTTTAATAGCCTATTCACTTAGCTATTCTCTTGGTGTCTAACTCTCTGGGGTTACTAAATTAAAACCAAAACATCTTATTTATAAAGGGTGAAACCCTTTATACTTTTACTAAACTTCCGATGTGGGATACAAGACAAACTCAAACTCACTTAACTTTTGATATGGGATTCTGAGATTCAAGGCAAATCCAACAAATCCTCCCTTGACTTGAATCTCCAAACACTTCAACAGTATCTGCAAAGCTAACATGCTTACCTTTCTTCTTTTCTTTCATCACAGGTATTCCAGCAACTAAGCCTCCATCAAACATGTACAAGTGATTGACCTTATTCCCTTGTAGAATCACACTATCATTCTTATACACTTTCAACCAATCATTACTACCATAAAATGTGTACCCCCGAGAAGCTAACTCACCCAAAGCAATCAAATTGTAATGACAATTTGGTACATACCTTACATGACGAAGTGTCCTAATAACACCATTGTGAGATCTAAGGCGAACACTTCCAATGCCTTGAATCTGCACCTTTTTTTCGTTAGCAACCACAATATCCCCATACTTTTCATTCTCATTCAACTCCACAAAGCAGCTCCTATCATTGCAAACATGAACTGTAGCAGCTGAATCTAAAACCCAACCTTTATCACTTTTCAAAGTCTGAGTCTCATCCACACAAGTTGTCAAAATAACATCATCATCATCAGACACGACAGCAGCAGTATCACTCTTTTCTTCATCTGATTTCTTCTCATCATTCGCCCTTTTGAAAGCAGCCATATCCCTTCTCAACTTCCTGCAGCGTACTTGGATATGTCCCTTCTCACCACAATAATAACATTCTACATCACTGTAATCTCTGTCTCTTGACTTAGATCTCCATCTCGATCCATCAATCCTCTTTTGAGTCCTCCCTTGATCAAAACCCTCTACAGCTAGTGTACTCCCCTCAGGTGATGAGTTCTAAGCTCCCATAAACCTTTCATTCTCACGCAACAGGGCAGTCACATTATCCAACTTCAAAGTAGACCTGCTTACCAACACAGTCTGAACTAAAGGCCTATAAGACTTGGGTAAAGATGACAGCAAAATTAAAGCCTTCTCTTCATCTTTTAACTCATCAACAGAAATCGCTAGCAATTGAGAAACCAATTTATTAAACTCATTCAAGTGATTATGAAGACTCATACCTTCTTCTATCTTCAGAGAATACAGATCCATCTTCAAACATAATCTATTAGTCAACGACTTCGAAGCATAAATACCTTCAAGCTTATCCCACAAACTCTTTGGAGTACTCTCAGTCAACACACTGTACTTTACTTCTAGAGCTAACGCCAATCTAATAGTACTAACAGCCTTCTTCTGAATCCTATTCCAATTAGCATCAGACATTCCCTCAGGCTTACTACTCTCTAATGCCTGATCCAACCCTTGTTGTACTAACAGATCTTGAATCGTACTTTGCCATAACATAAAATTACTCTTTCCATCAAATAACGGAATCTCAAACTTAGGCATAGACATACCAGACATACCTTCTTCAGACATCTTCAAACACTGCTTCACGATCTCTTGGACCCACGAACCTCGAACCTCGTTCTAATACCACTTGTTGGGAAATACCACAATACCCACGCGCAGCAACCACACACACAAAATAACAAGCTCAAATCAAGAATAAGAACACACAAATGATCTTCCCTCTCTTACTCTTAGTCAGTCGTTCCTTTTATGTAACTCGTTGGCTTCAGAACTTGCTTTCCTTTCGAAACCATTGAGCGAAGAATGATAACTCTAGATCGAAATATACTAACTATAGGACATAGGCCTTAGGTTTGGATGCATATTGAAACGCACCGCACTTGAGGTGAGGAATTGATTGATTGTCTTACAACACACTTCCCTATCTTTCCGAATGACTTACTATCAGGCTGGCTGGACTGTACTAAGTTAAGGATCGGGATCGGAGATAGAATCAATAAAAGTAAAAGAGAGGGGCTAAGCTCTGTCTGGTCTGTCCTTTAGTTGAAAAGAAAAAGGACTTGCGATGGGCTGTAGCCTCAATTTTCATTGACCCTTCTAAGCTTCCAAACTGGCATCCCACGCGCAGCAACCACACACACAAAATAACAAGCTCAAATCAAGAATAAGAACACACAAATATATTTGGTTCGGCCCAACTCAAAATGACCTACTCCAAACCTAATCCACTATCAAATAAATCTTTACAATTGTGAGACTTTTAGAATGAGAAAAGTCTCCTAAAACTCTTTACTCAAAACTTAACCCAAAACCCAATTACACCCTTTTAATAGCCTACTCACTTAGCTATTCTCTTGGTTCTGGAGTTACTAAACTAAAACCAAAACATTTTATTTATAAAGGGTGAAACCCTTTATACCTTTACTAAACTCCCGATGTGGGATACAAGACAAACTCAAACTCACTTAACTTTTGATGTGGGATTCTGAGATTCAAGGCAAATCCCAACAGAAACATCTCAGTTTCCTAGAATTAAGCAACAACGACTTTGGAGGCTTGGCAATTCCCGAATTCATCGGTTCCATGAAGAGTTTGATATATCTTAACCTCTCTTGGGCAAATTTCCAAGGAGCAATTCCCCATAATCTTGGAAATCTCTCAAAACTGCATTATCTTGATCTTGGACACAATTCCCTATTTGAAGATAAAACTCTTCAATGGGTTTCTGGTCTGTCGTCTCTGCAGTATCTTGATTTGAGTCATGCAGATCTTGGTAAAGCAACTGATTGGCTGCAGATAACAAATAAACTTCCTTTATTGGCAGAGTTACACTTGTCAGGATGCTATCTATATAATGATCCATCTCCAATCAGTGTTAATTACACATCTCTTGCTGTTCTCGATCTGTCTGCCAACAAGTTGTCTTTGGTGCCTACATGGATATTCAGTCTTCGTAGTCTTGTGTCCATTGATCTTACCCTTAATGGAGTTGAAGGTGTGATTCCCAATGGTTTTCAAAACATGTCTTCTCTCAAATTTCTTGATCTTAGTTGGAATTCATTCTCCTCATCATCGACACTCAACTGGCTGTCTAATTTAAACCAGCTTCAATTTCTTGGTCTTCGTAGCGTCGGTCTGCAAGGTAATTTTTCAAGTGCCATTGGAAACTTGAGCTCTCTTACTCATCTTGATCTTTCAGGTAACTTGCTTGAAATTATAGTACCAAAATATTTGGAAAGTCTTTGCAATCTGAGGGAGTTGGATTTGTCAAATAATGGAATTGTTCATGAGGTATCAGAAATCATAGAAAGTTTGTCTAGATGTAGTTTGGATCGATTAGAGTCATTAAACATGGGATTTAACAAACTTTCTGGCCATTTACCTGATAAACTCGGCCAATTTAAAAATTTGGCATACCTTTCCCTTTCTGGAAACTTCATTTCTGGTCCCATTCCATTCTCAATAGGGAAGTTGTCATCATTGAAATTTCTTGATGTTTTAAACAATCGATTGAATGCAACTCTTCCTCAAAGTTTAGGACAACTTGGGAATTTGGAACATTTAGACGTTTGCAACAATATGTTGGAAGGACATATATCAGAAATGCACTTTTCTAATCTCACGAGGTTGAGATTTTTTAGGGCATCTAACAACATGTTAACGTTTAAACCAAATCCAAGTTGGATTCCTCCTTTCCACTGTGAAAGTATTGAATTGCGTAACTGGCATCTTGGTCCGCAATTTCCTCAGTGGCTACAATTCCAAAAAAACTTGTCTCGTTTGGATATCTCCCATGCTGAAATTTCAGTCGTCATTCCCACTTGGTTTTGGAACATTTCGACTCAGTTGGAATATCTAAACCTTTCCCATAACCAACTAATTGGAGAGATTTCATATTTACCGATGAAGAGGACGGTTGACTTGAGTTCCAACCTATTCATAGGTCCATTGCCACTGCCAATCTCATATTTGAGGTTTTTATTTTTGTCTAAGAACCTATTTTCAGGATCACTTTCCAATTTTCTTTGTAATTCCTCAACTAAACTGGAAGCTTTGACCATTCTTGACATTGAATCAAATCTTCTGTCAGGTGAAATTCCAAATTGTTGGGAAAATTGGCAAATGTTGCAAGTCTTAAATTTAGGAAACTACAATCTAACTGGGAAAATTCCTAGATCTTTGGGATCTATGCGTAGCATTAGGTCATTAAACCTTCGAAACGATAACCTGTTTGGAGAAGTACCATCCACATTGCAGCATTTAGTTGAGGTGATTATTCTTGATCTTAGTGAAAATCAATTGACGGGAAGTATTTCAGCATGGATTGGAGACAAGCTTTTAAACCTTGTGGTTCTAAACCTTCGTTCAAATAACTTTCAAGCCTATATTCCTGATCAAATTTGTGCTATTAATTCTCTTCAAGTTTTGGATCTTGTTTATAACAACATTTCAGGAGTTATTCCAAAATGTTTTAGTAACCTAAGTGCCATGGCCACAAAAACCCTCTACCAATATGTGGGTAACTTCGCCTGGGAACTCGACCGTATTAACTTGATTCCTTTGGCTGCATTATTGGTGATGAAAGGAAGAGAAGATGCATACAGTAACACACTAGGACTTGTTACCATCATAGACCTTTCAGTTAACAGTCTCACAGGAGAGATCCCCAAAGAACTTGGTAGTCTTATGGGGCTGCGGTCATTAAATTTGTCGGGGAATTTTCTAACAGGAAAAATACCAGAGAACATTGGCAGTATGGAGGTTTTGGAATCTCTTGACTTGTCCATGAACCGATTCCATGGTGAAATCCCTTCAAGTTTCTCCAATTTGAATTTCTTAAATCACTTCAACTTGTCCTACAACAACTTGACAGGACAAATCCCATTAAGCACCTAGCTCCAAAGCTTTGACAAGTTTTCTTACGTTGGCAATCATCTTTGCGGACCTCCTGTCACTAAAACTTGTAGCAGAAATGGTGAAACACCTGATGTCACAAATGAAGGTAGCAGTGGAGGAAAGAAAAGGTCTAAGTTGAATTGGCTTTATGTAAGCATAGTGCTTGGATTTGTGATGGGGTTTTGGGGAGTAGTGGCTCCCTTGTTTTTCATCAGGTCTTGGAGGTTTGCTTATTATAAAAAATTGGAGCAAATTGGTGACAAGCTATACGTGTTTTGGGCTACTATTGGTATGTAATTATTTGAAATGGTAGCTCATTTTGGTGTGTTTGGTAATATAATAATTTTATTTGTATGCTCTTTACTTAATCCATGTATTCGGGTTTGGATGTGGTATTCTATGTTATAATTTATTGAAATGAAATAAAATTATGTGTGTTAATGTATTTGACTCATAGATGTGAATTCAAGTTTTATTTAAATTGGGTTGAAGGTACAATTTTTTTATAAATCCTTTTAATTGGATTGAATTATTAAAAAGATAAATCAAAGTCAGGGTGAATAAAAACATGTCATGACAAGTTGTCATCCTTAAATGGATGTATTCATTAGGCACCCTATTAATTTGGTTTTTTTTTTTTTTGGGTTGTTTTTTTAAGTTTTGGCTTTTTTTTGTTTTTAATTATCTATTTTTTTTTTATCTATGTTTGGAGAACTAAATTGGCAGTGGAAGTGTTCATGTGGCATCTCATTTAGTTTTTTTTTCTTTTTTTTTTCAGCCCTTTCCTTTCCTTTGTTTTATTTTATTATTTTTTCTTTTTTTAATAAAATAAATTTTGTAAAAAATGAAGTCATTGGAGGTTGAGATGTCAAAATAACACATATTTGATTGGTTTCAATCCATCAATATAATAGGGACAATTTTTAAAATCAGAATCGGATCGAAGTAAGATGATTTTTTTTTTTGAAGATCAAAATCGAGTCGAAACCAAGTTTAAGATACTTTATTCTGCCTCGTCTCAAGGTATATATATAAGAATATATATTATTTAATTTTATTTTTATTTGTTATATTAATAATTTATGTTAATAATTAAGATATAATTTATATTAAAAATTATAATTATTAATGTTATATTATTGAATTGATTCTTGGTCAAGGTAAACCTAATACAGATTATATATATATATATATATATATATCAAGTTGGCATCGAGTATAAAAAATAATAATATGATCAAAGTTAAAACGAATATAAACTAGTCTTTACTCGAGCCTTTGCCGTCTTTAAGTGGAGGTCTTTATGTGCTATCCCTATTTGGCTATTTTCATTTTTATCCTTTTGCTTATGCATTTTCTTTTCTTTTTTTTAGCATATTTTAAATCATTTTTATTATTTTTAATTGTTTTGAAAAATAAAATTAAAAGAATAAATTTGTATTTGAATTTGTTATAAAAGTTATAAGAATTATATATATTATTTACAAATTAATGGATAAATTTTCACCGATCATTATTTTTATCCAAAAATTATGAACAATAACAAGATTTTAGAATAAAAGTTCAAATTACACACAACCCTAAACTCTACACAGTAGATAAAGCAAGTAGCATTTCATTAAAATTGAATATTTAAGAACTCTCACTTAAAACTTTTGACCAAGTTTTTTTTTTTTTTTGGGGGGGGGTGAAGTTTAAACTTTAAAGCCCTGTTATATTAATCATTTTTTGACGAGCTTTTCTGAAACCAGAAACTATAGAAATAGAAGATTCACTGATTAATTTGCTTGCTTATCTGGTAATTGATAGGTTGAAACTTGAAATTTGGAAACCTTTAGGGGTAACTGAATGCCCTACTATAATTTTACAAGACCAAATGTTGAAAATAGTTGACCTGTACCAATTAAACCATCATAAAATAATGCTTCATTTGAATGAATAATAAAAAAGATTTTCGTCGAATCACATTGAAACTATTCATTTTGACATCCGAGAGGCCGTCCAAATGGAACATGATTGTTGCAAAATTTTCAGGCCTGGAAAATATTGGTCAATAATAATTTTGCATACAAATCCATGATTTCATATTGAACAAATAAAAAGAACCGAATCATTCTTGACTATTTTTGTTATTTATTTATTTATTCTTTTGTTTTTGAATGATAAATCATTATAATATGTAACATTTACATATTAATCAAATTCATAAGGATTGTTTATCGTAGAAAATAAAGGGTTCAGTTTCTGGAAACTCTAAACATATGGAGATAACCAGACATAGATGAAAGGAATAACGTTGGTAGTTTAGAATATAATACATTTCACATTGAATAGAAAATTTTAATTATTGATGAATAAAATTAATTTTTGTATTAATTTTATTCATATTTTAAATAATTATGTTTGAACAGAAATAAATATCATATGATAAATTGTCACAACTATTTGAATATAAATGAATTATTATTCATAAAGGTAATGATTATACAGAAGGTCATAACCATCTGAATATAAATTTATGTTTGTTCATTCATTATAAATAAATCTTTCATTATGATCATTTTTACTATTTTTGATTAGAGAGTTTGAGGCTTTGTTGTATCCTAAAGGTATAATTGTCTTTAAGAAAATGTTCTTTATGTCTCAAAGCCAAAATTCTTTTCTATTATTTTTTTTCTCTTATGTATTTTTCTCTAACAATTTAAAGGCAATTATATAAGAAAATTTAATTTTGCCTAAGGAAGATATAAAGAAAAGAAATTGGCATGATTTGGAGATTAATATTAGAAAAGGCTAAATGAGTCAAAGGTGCTGAAGCATGCTTCTGCTAAAGATTTCTCCTATGTTTTCTATAAAAGTCAGTTTTTTTTTTTTCAATTCATTTAACCTTTTTCTTAGAAAAAAAAAGATTTCTTGCCCAAAAAAATCCTCTCTGGCTTTAGCCAGAATCCGGCGCCGGACTGTCGTGCTGGCCGTGGCCTAGGTCACCACCGGCGGTCGCTGATAGTAGTCGTCGGTTGTCGAAAAATGCCAAAAATACTCTCAAACGTTCACCTTAATGCCCTCTTTTTAGATCCAACGTCCGTTTTGCTAGAAATAGGCCCGATCGTAGTAGATCGGGGCTTGAAGTTTTTTGTCTTTTTTTTTTTGGAATGAGATTGATATATATTTTTTGCTTTTGCAGGTAGCTCGGCGCTGGGTTCCTCCCTGCGGGGAGGATCGTGTTTGTCTTTGTGTTTTTGTTTTTCTGTTTGTTTTTTTTTTGTGGTTGGTGTGGGTTCTGTTTGGGATTGTTGAAGGGAGAGGTCTGGGTTAGTGTTTGGGCTCGAAATGAAAGGGTGCTAAGGGCAATATGTCTGGAGGTTTCAAAGATTTGTCCAAAGGTTTTCGAGAGGGGGTGTCTGAGAGAGGCTGAAAGGGGAAATGTTGGGGGTTTTATAGGGCTGAAAATGGTGGTAGTCAATGGAGCATACGTCTGGCGAGGTATGGGTGTGATGGTAGGGTAAGCTTGATGGTTTCGAGCAATTGGGGTAAGTGAGGTGCAGGGGTTCTGATGGGATTGGGGATGGTGGTGACAGGGTGGGTGGTAGTGGTGGCGTGTAAGGCACCACTGCCATCTTGATTTTTTTCTCTTTTTTTTTATCAGTTATCACTTTTATTTTTATTTTTATTTTTTTATATTAATTAAATCAATATTATTATTATTATTATTAAACCAAAGATTGGAAATGATAGAGCGAACAAAATTCGATGTCTACACAGATGATGACACTTTATTAATGAAAAAATATCAACCCTTTAAATAAATGTACACAAATTACAATTTTTTAAAAAACTTATTCTTTAATAAGGTGTTATCAATTGATTTATTTCATTAATAAGTTTAATCATCTGATTCACTAATAGTATATAAAATCTATATACTAACAGTGTATCAAATATAAATTCTAAAAAATAGTTTATATTTGATACATTGTCAGTATATAAATTCTAAAAAAAGTTTATATTTAATACATTGTCTGTATGTAAATTCTATACACTGCCAGTGAATCAAATGATGGCACTTCATTAATGAGCAAATATCAACTCTTAAAATAAATGTAAACAAATTAAAATTTTTTAAAAAACTTATTCATTAATGAAGTGTTATCATCTAGTTTATCTCATTAATGAGTTGTAATAATCTGATTTACTAACAATGTATAAAATCTATATACTAACAGTGTATCAAATATAAATTTTAAAAAAGAGTTTATATTTGATACATTATCAATATATAGATTTCATACACTGTCAGTGAATCAGAGATGGCACTTTATTAATGAGTAAATATCAATCCTTAAAATAAATGTACGTAAATTAAAATTTTTTAAAAAACTTATTCATTAACGAGGTGTTATCATCTTATTTATCTCATTAATGAGTTGTAATCATCTGATTCACTAATAATATATAAAATCTATATATAATAGTGTATCAAATATAAATTCTAAACAAGAGTTTATATTTGATATACCATCAGTATATAAATTCTATATACTGTTAGTGAATAAGATGATGGTATTTCATTAATGAACAAATATTAACCTTTAAAATAAATGTACACAAACTAAAATTTTTTGAGAAATTTATTCATTAATGAGGTGTTATCATCTAATTTATCTCATTAATGAGTTATAATTATTTGATTCACTAACAATATATAAAATCTATATACTGATAGTGTATCAAACATAAATTCTTAACAAGAGTTTATATTTGATACATTGTCAGTATATAGATTCTATACACTGTCAGTGAATCAGATGATGGCATTTCATTAATGAATAAATATCAACTCTTAAAATAAATGTATACAAATTAAAATTTTTTAAAACATTATTCATTAATAAGGTGTTATCAGCTAATTTATCTCATTAATGAGTTATAATAATCTGATTCACTAACAGTGTATAAAATTTATATATTGATAGTGTATTAAATATAAATTCTAAAAAAAA